CCCTATGAAAAAGATGCTCGAAACAAGTGCAATGAATTTTCAAGTTCGATTTAGCAATGATGAGGTGCTGTGATTGAACAAGCCTCTGAGGAAAACGGTCAATCCCGGTCCGGTACTTGTCTATTTAGATCCGCATTAGGGTAAAGGTGTTCAAAAACAGTTATGTTTTTAAGTAATCGCCAAATCTAGATAAGTAGCAAGTTCTAGCCATGCTATACCGGGCGGTGGCCGTAGACCTGGAGCCAAGCTAGCTTGCCGTGTGAGTAAGAACACTAGAAATAATAAGAACTCACAACGAAGCCTTAACGAAAACAGTAGACAAGTGTTCGTCTAGTGAAAAAAAAGACGATATGCGTGATCGAGGCAACGGTGACGAGACGCAAAACCGTGTGCGATTTTCCTTCTGCATATTTTATTCCGTGCATCGTTCACTATAAACACATACACGTACTGTGATCGTTGGTGTAGTAACAAATTGTCGCTTGCAGGTACTGATGAAGTGCGCTTGTCCTGGTGGTGCCATGTAAATACTGGTGACGACCCACGTCCCCACACAGCCGGCCAACTGAACCGTAGCGGTATTCTAACCGGGACGACCGTCTCTGAAATCGCTATTCAACACTTTCATATCGATCCAACGATGACGCATCGAACGCTACATCTGGGCGTCGATGGCTCCCTGACTACGAATAGCAGCATTGGCTTACTGGTTGACGACACGCTGATATGGCGAACGACGAATCGGACCACGTATAGACGCCGTTTGTTTAAGTTCAGTAGCTTATTATTGCCGCCTGGTAGTAAATAGGGGCGCAGACTGTTGCCACCATCATAATTGCAATACTGTGAATGGCTATTTAATCGACTGGCCGGACCGTCTGCTATCAAACGGATCAATTTGGCCAGCAAAAACAAAACAGAGCAAGTGAAAAGTAGGAAAAATGCAGATAGAACTTTTAGTTATGGCATACGTTGTTCTGCTGCCTGGCAATGTCATCTAGCTGAGAATCCATGAGCTGGCAAAAAATAAGGAGATGCGTGTTGTACATCCTGTAGCTGGGCGTACGCTGCGTCAAATCTCCGTGGATGTTTACATGCACAACGCCATTAATTGGCGTTAGTCAAAACTATTATCTCACACATATAATTGTACCCTAGACATTTCCTGATTCTGATCTCAATGATTTGTTTATTCTTCAACATATTTATCAGTCGAAAATTGCATAGATCAGTCGTTATAGTTTGTGTGTGTTCTGCCAGTGTTACAAAATAATAATTCTCACATATGCCACAAATAAAAGGCTCTCATGCACATTATAAAGTGTCCCGCCAAAGGTAGCTGAACTTATACTTGCAGAAGTGGATTCCGCCTGGTAATATTAAGGCTTTCAAGGACCTTAGTATCCTTCTACAGCGAGTCGAAGCCCCGTCCGCATAGCTTCCTCATTTACTGTCTAATAATATTAGTAAAGAGTTAGCTCGGATATAAGAATATTCGGTATATCCAATGTTTAAATCATCAAAATGTTTAATTATACGTCTCAATATGTTTTCATAGTAAACAATATGTAATATATAACGAATAAACAGACGTATTTCTCGATATCATTAGGCCTGTTTGCAGCTATGAGCGTCCCAAAGGCAAATCACTCGGGGCAACACACGAATTTAACCCTTAAAGCTATTCTGATCATGACTTTCAACTGTTCAAACATTTAAAGAATATATATATATATATATTTTAATTGATACCATTTCAAGCAGAGAAATGCTTATTGATAAAGTATATATTGAGGACGTCGATAACAAGGTATCTTAATGATAACCTCTGAATTGAGGACAGAATACCATTAAGAAACCTAAGATTGCACTTCTTGTACGTACCGACGACACGTGTAACATCATTTCATGGACGTCTAACGCGCCGCTAATCTCCCCGATAAACATCTATTTGTTTTTATATCTCTTATTCATCCAATAATCTAATTCGGTCTAAGTGACTCATTGCGTTCACCACTGTGACAAATTTAATATATATATATATTTATATAAGTGAGAAAATACGTCTCTCACAACTTATCTTTAGAAAAGACCATAATTGTTACATTACATTGCAAGTAGATTCGATTCTACCGGCATCTTCAAGTCGTTCAAGTGGCCGCTGATGATTACGGAAGAGCTGACAGAGACGAAATAACTTACAGTTCCCAGACTTGGGCACCAAATTCGACCCAACGGGCCAACCTGTGGCACCCCGCTAAGCCCACGAACACTCTTTCGGCACCCGCGTCCTCTAACGACTACGGACTACCCGTGGATGACTGTCTAATCGCTTGTTCGCGCGTAACCCCTCTTTTTGCGTAAGCGTCACAGGAACTGGCTGTGACTGCTATAAGGGGCTATCTACTTGTCGCTGTGTTTGAAGACTACTATACGACGCTTGCCGGCTGGAAGAAAAGCGGCCACTGTTACCGCTATCGTATGGGGGTGCTGTATTGCTGTGACGATAGCGGAGTATCGACAAAGAACTGCTCTATAGGCGTCGCGGTACGATATCAGTGCTACCACTCAACAACAAAGAGTGGGTAAAGACTAAGCGTTCAAACAGTTGTAGTAGCGATGCTACGGCAGAACTACAAACATTGGTGATTTATCAGCCGAATCTGACAACACGGTGGCTATGGTAACTTCAGCAGTAACAGACGCCTGCCGTTTGCTTGCGAACTCCACACACTGGACATTTAGTGGGCGACCATATCCAAGAAGCCGATACGAACAACGTTTTATTGGGCTTGGCAGGAACGGTAAGACAACATATTTCCTTACGATGGCAACACCTACTTACAAATAGAGTAGATTAAAAGGAGATACCAAGAACGTCGATACGATACATACATCTCGAGCCATAAGCTTATTTTATGAATGTGACGTATACGTCTGTTTCGCAAGGACCCGTTTTTATGCGTACGTCATGCGAGCCCCCCAATAACACGGTTCATTACCTCATTTGAATATTTGTCAGTCGAAATCAATAAAAATAGCAAGTATATAAACAATAGTACGACTCTGTCGTTGAAGCGATTACCGTAGCCAAATACCAGATAGCCACTAATAACGCCACTCGTTTTTGTCAGGCTGTGTTCTATTTTGCCTACTGTATATAAATGAATGCAAATCGGTCCATTAAATCACCTTTGACAGATTTCAAGCACACCTATGGAAACAAGCAAAGGGCCGTTTCCAACGGCTTCTTTCAGCTTTTGTCTGCTTTCAGTCGATCAAAGCTGAACTCGCATCGCTTGCTTATAGCAACGCCAGGCGATCCGTTGAGCTTGCCAACAGGTCCCTTGTTAGGTGCTCACCGCCCTGTCATTTTCCTGCGGTGACCACAGCTGTATCAGACATACTTCGCATGATTACCACGCTTGGTGACGGTGTTTCTGTAAACTCCCGTCTTTTTGGAATAGACCACGCTCAAGCGATTAGTCGGTCGGTCAAACATAAAAAATGGTAGAAACAGCGGCAGCAGAGTCAAGTGCCAATCCGAGCGTTCAGGACAGAAAACCAGACGATACTGACCTACATACGACGCTAGTAAGGCATCTAGGCTGTGGCTGTGGCCGCGGCGGTGCTTCTCCACAGGAGCAGGGACACTTCGACGTTTACTAAGTATTCAACAGCGGGTCCTAATGCACAGCAGGAAAAATCTGCATGAGCCTTTTTGTAGAATAGCAACAGCAGCGATAGCGTTATCTGTAGCAGTGGCAGCAAGACGTCTATCGTCAATGGCCTCTTGAATATTGAATGCGGCAGCTGATTTGCTGACTGCTTCCCTTATGGTGTTTTACGGCCCCTGAGAGCTAGCGGTAGCTCGAGACCGTTGCAATAATGTAAACGAGCAAACCATTTGACTCGAAAGTCTATTGACCCAGGAGCTTATTTCCGGCGAACATCGGCCCAGAAGCGTTCTGGCGTCTACGCAACCTTTATACTCCTGTCCATATTTCCCACAGACCCACAGGCTATCCGCCCATTGGCAGGACCGTGAATGCGGACTTGCTCGTCATGAATAGCTCGACATGGATTAATTGGTACGGCAAACGTCAACATTCAAAACAAAAAGTAGATACAATGGTAATCCTAATAATTAGAACACGGTGTAAGATGATTATGATTCCTGCATAGTGAGCTAGCAAATCTGGCAACGGAATAACAATTGTTTTGTTTTTTTTTGTGTAGGACATAGACTAACATAGGAATCAATTGGGCCGGTGTTATGCCAGCGTTCGACGAACACTGAACTGCATAGAAATCGTAGGACTGAAATTATTTATAATAATCTATATATATATAATTAACCGGCAATAATAGTGATGATGATCAAGCATATGACTGAAAATACGCGAAGATTAATATGATGATGATGATTTTTCAGGGCTGGTTTGGGCTCCAAAATCACCCGAAATAATAAAGCAACAAGAAACATACAGCTCTTTTTCATTGAAGTTGATTGAGTGAACTTCAATTCAGCTTCCTTATCTCATGTTGCTCTGTGTCGACACTGATCGTTAGTTGTTATTAACTGATATGTACATGCGTTTCATTAGCGTCATGCCAAATATACAAACAGTCGCCAATAGCCCGTTTTGAACCAGAAATCATTTTTAGTTAGAGAGTGGTAAATAACGAGTAGAGAACGCAAGCGGCTCATAGATATACAATTTCGATAATTTATGTTGTCGCCCTGCATATTATCCTCGGACATCGTTCGTCTCAGGTACGCTCCGGCATTCATGCACCTACACTAACAATAAAGCGCATTTGACGCACGTATTCTTTCAAGCATATGTGTAACAATCGAAGAAGCAGCAAAAAAATGGGATTTACGTCGACGTTCAACTTTAACCGCAAGCGGTCACGTAAAGTACACACTTGAAGATCTTCCATTTAATTTATGTGTTGTATCGTGTGTTTACAATAAGTGCGCGCGAAACACTCACAGAACCATGCTGATCCGTCTCTCAATGCCAGCTGCGATATCTATATTGACAGAGAAAGTCGAGCCGAACGCTTTTAGTGCTCGTTCGCAGGACGTCCAGAAGAGGTCTTGTCCTTGATCTCGAACTTATGAAGGCTTCGTCGCTATATTCGCATCAGTGTTGTTGTTGTTGTTGTTCTTGCTGCTGCTGTTGCTATTGTCGTTGTCGATAGTTGCTGCCCTGATTTGCGTTGAAGTGAAACTTCAGGGCTTTGAGGTGTCAATCAGATGCTGCACCCGATGAAATTTATCACTACACAATGTGGTTTATTCATTAACGTCAATGAGCACAAAACAATACAGATTACACTAATAGAGCGTCGGCACGCGAACTAATGGGACAAGCACAACAAAACAACGACGACGATGACCACGACGACGACGACGACGACGACAACGACGGCGGCGGCGGCGGCGGAGGCGGCAGCAGCAACAACAACAACAACGACAACAACAACAATAGCTATAACGAATTTTTCAGTAGAAGAGGTACAGCTAAATGGCAAACAAGAAATTTGTTCGGGACGTAAAGTACGATACAAGCAATCAAACTAGTATCAGTGCACGATCTCCTGGCCGGAGATCGATTGATCGGAAACACTGATGTAGTCTAATTGTGCCGATCGAACAGCCATCGAAGAACAAGCACACAAACGCTGTGATACTAACAGACAACTCTTAGACGTACTGCCGGAACAACTGTTCACTTACGCTATCAACGACTAATAAATTAATGGCTAACCAATGAACGCTACTTGAATATGTAATGAAGGTATCTCGAGCTTCAACGACCGGCGTTATCATTTGAGAGAGAAGATTGCCAACCAGTGTTACCAAATACCCAGATAAGCAAATACTTTTAGTAAAGCTATTACTCGTAAAATTGTGCATTGGCGTTTGACAGCAGCGTAGGTCCACGAGGATGTCGTTCTTATCTAACACTTACGTGAAGATATTGGCGACCTGCCATAGCGCGAACATTTTCACTCCTCAGGCTCGGGAAGAGGGCGCGTCCCTTTGGGAGAGACGTTGCCGCGGCCGTTATACAGCCACATAAGATAGCCAGACAATCAATTGAGCCCGTATTATTGTTGGAGAGGCAAATGGGAGAGGGTAAGCCTTTTGCGGCTGTCGACTGCGCGCAAATTTGAACGCAGACGTATCGTTTAGAATTCTTATTGGCGTGTTTTGAGCAGATCTTCACCTATGCCTATATGTAAACAAATATTCAAAACCATCTTTCAACACTGGTTCAAAAATTATCAGACCTGTCAAGAGGGGCCTTGATATAGGCCTGTCTGGATTTTCGTTATCAGAACTGTGAGAGGCATCAGAAACTCTCGTGGCTTTTCACTATCTTTCCACTACCACGATATTTCTAACGTCAAACTTGGCCTGATATCTTTCTCCGCGTTTGTCTCGTGGATTGGCTCACTGTTCCTAAAGATCGACCTGTTTTTTCCCATGGATGTTTATAGCTTATCGAAAGTTCATCTTATTACATGCAATAAGTTGTCAGAATAATAACCTATAGTTATATTACATTGAACCAGCTATCGAATTTATTGAACCGGCTATGCTTTCTATAATTTTTAAACCGCGATATCCCCCGCCGCAGTTTCATACCATGGTACTTCCTTAAACACATGTAAAGCGTTAATGTTTTCGTTCATCTTCGACATTAAAGACAATATTCTTACGCGATTCCTTTCTTACACTGAAGAAATCTGTCCGCATACTATCTTACTGTATATTCATGTGAAAATTCCTTAGTGTTTATGGTACTGTTGTTAGACAGGTATCCGATGCCCGTTGTTTTCAAATTTGCCTCTTCTTCACGGAAGCGAGTTAGCTGCAATTATGATTACAGAATTTTCGTAATTATTTCTGTAGTCCACTTCAAAATAACATTGTTCATTTGTGTCACTTTAGTGACACAGAATTTGTGCTGGATCGCATGAAGACCAAATGAAGATTTCGTGTTGTAACAAACGAAGTTCATGGTAAGGAGAGGCTGCTGCGTAGTTGGGTTAATGGGCAATGCTTTGTTTGGTCTGGTCAAGTGGCCCAGATCTAGGAAATTTGAGTACAATGCCTGCCTGCCCTTCGAACGCTGGTTTTGCTGACATACGAAATTTACGAATGCCGAAACGACTATATCGTATACACACCACTAAAATATAGGAATGATAGCGATATCTAGCCCTACTAGAAATCCACGCATCCTATTAGAAAGCTGGAGTTTACAACAATTTGATACACCGTAAAATAAATTCATAGTTTTTTCTGCTAGTAGCAAAAAAGGTATCCTTCATAGTCATTGTAGGAAATAGGACCCCGCCTTGGCAGGATAATTACAGTGAAAACTCGCATTATGACTGGGTGTTTTTTGTCTTACATGCTATACCTGACATACCGCTGGCTGCCAGCACGAAGCGAAATAGTATATGGACGCCCGAATCTAAACCCCAAGCTTTTAACGTATCCCCAAACTTAGTAGGCAAACGTCATCCAGGTTACTACCGCGTGGACGTGCACTATTGCTAGACGAAATGTTTTGTATCAGCAACCGGTCTAGTGCTGTCTTCAGCAGACTGCGTTATCAACGCGTTAGTTTCAATGTAGAGTGCTTTGACTCGCGATGGAACCTCGATACGAGACCAGGTTGATAAATCAGGCCAGGCCAGATAACAGGCAGGCCGAAAGAAGCCTGTTTTGAATAGACATGGCAATTGTCTTGAGACTTTACTTCGAAAAACTATGCAAATATGGTGATTTAACAGTGCATCAGGCGAACTCCAGTATCGCTATGGTCTAGATTCAATTTCATTTGAACGGAACGTTATGAATGAACTTAAATATGGGCATGACACCTTTCTCGGTGTGATTTTCTTCATTTTTACATTTGTCTTCCTATGCCGAAATTAGCACCCGCTTAGCCTAGTTTTCATGGAAACCATATCTGTGTCTAAACATATGCCGCTTATGTGCAAGCCCTGCCCAAGTAATACAACTTACGATTGACGGTGCCACCCGCGAAGCGTCCTATTTATGTAGGCATAGTAAACACCTTGTAAACTTTATGGTTGATACTCTGTCATCATTAAAAGATTAGCACAAAAAAATATAGGATACTGTTATTTCATCTGGCAGGCATTAAATCACACTACGGATCCAGAGTTTTCTAGAAGTACCGTCTACCTAAAACTATTCGGTTTCATCGCAATCCACTGGATTAACATCTATTTTTGCTAGATCCTCCAGCTCCCACTCACGATCTAGATGCTCGCAAGGCAAACATTGTTGTTTATGCAAGTAAATGATTCACCATCTATCAAAGAGATACGGATTCCGAACTGCAGGCGGTAAGTACGATTGTACTCTTCTGGCGTTTTCTGACCGTTTAACATCTTCGATAGGGAAGTCATTATAAGCTCAGCACACGATCGGCTATAGAACAGAATTCATCGTATGCGTGCGTACTTTGGGGACCCTTCAAACTCTTGTCGTTGCTGTATTTGAAGAAACGTTTCGTCACATAAATAAACAATGGTGCGATCATCTGCGTGCAGTTTTATCGGTGCACGTCAATCTTGATGCATTTCGACAATAGGGCTAGACTAATCTGGACCCGACTATCCAACAGTACGAGCACAAACTAATTCTTAAAATAGCGCTAGAAATAATAAACACGGCGTAACAGCACGAGTTTGTTTATCAAATAATGTACATAGTGATCTATAACCTTTTGAATAACCTAACTTAGTTAGTAAGGTAAACTTTGAACGCTGGTCCAACGCTAAACCAGCCAACGAGCGCAAATGCAATTTCACAACTTCCTGTAAAGTCCTGCAGAGGTACATAAATAGTGTGATTAATTTTTAAGTCATTTTCAATTAATTTACTATTTATTATTACTATTATATTAATTAAATATGATTTGATGTGATCATGAAGATTTTTCAACGGTTTCAAAGTCAATCGCCATTTAGAATGCGAACTTTATCGCGCCCACATAGGCTAGAAATAGTAGAATTTAATAATTTCACTGGATCCTTCATGTGGACGTGCTGTGCTGCCGAGAAACCTGCAAATGCTGTTTTGGCTAAAGGGCCGCACAACAAACAACAAGCTCTTATCGAATGAGTAAGGTAGGCGGCACCTAAACTGGGTCTTTGTATTTGGGATAGTTTTTACGTACGCTGTAAGTGTCATTCTTAGCGATTCTGATTATAGAATATAACCACCATTCATTAGTCTTTGAAAATATTTTTCCTTTAATAACCTCCTAATAGTAGTTATACGCTTGGCGGTTCCAGATTCCGTCGGTCAAATATTCCTAGTACAAAAAATCCCGGCAGAATTAGATCTTACGCATCGGTCCAAAAGTCCAAAAAGATGGAACGACTGAGTACAGTCTAATACCCCAAAAGATGCAAAATGACTAGCTGCTAAAGCTTCTTTAGGCAGCCCAATTAACAGCTAAGATTTTTCGCTTTAGGACAACCGTTAATTTTTGTATCCTGGTGTATTAAAAATATCTTTCTGACCCATTTTGATAAGATTTCGAGCCTTTTACATCTAATGCGGATCTTCTGGTTTACTTCGTGGAATTTTTCCTCATATTTTTCAACTCGATTTCGAGCAATTCTGTATGGGTCCGGTGCGTAAAAACTGCTCTACTCTTTTCATTTTCGCTCATATTGCGAAAATGACGCACTGCTTTGCACTACGATGGGTTTTTTTGTTTTTTTTTTTCTACAAAACACGGCCATTCGTTTAGTAGCATTCAATGGCGAATGAACGCATGGCCATTACTGAACCTGTTAGAGAGCCCGTTGTAGTTTATCTTGATTTAGGTGCGTATTCTGTGCTACTACCATACTATTAAAATCAAGCCGCATTAGGGACATGTTATCTAAATTCGAACTCGGACCTAGATAGACTTCGTTTCGTGCTGTGAGCCGGCCAGTCGTTCGATGGGATGCTTAGTGGCGATACCGGGCATAGGACTCGAAACAAAGGCGTTGTAAGCCTAGACTCCAACAAAATTTTTGTTGCAGACTATTTGCATATATTATGAATACAGAGGGACAAGTGCAGTTATTAAAAACAGAGGGTGTGTTGGAAAAAATTACCGTTTATCCGGTAACGTTGTAGCTGAATATTTGTGTGTGAAGCAAGTGACGATTGACAACGTAGATTTTTGGACGCTAGGCAGCCGACATTGGATGATGGTAGTTGATGAGTAAATGAGCCAAATTTCGCTATCGAAGTTAGCGAAAAGGTTACCTCCGTACCCAGCTCAATACTCGCGTCTGAGATGAACTCAAGATCGTTCGTGCTACACAAACGATTTAAGCGTTCTGCATATTTATTTTACGGTTATTTCGGATAATTTTTTCACTAATGCCGCGACTATATTATCGCCCTGTCGCTATGTAGCAATGGAAATAACAAGGATACATCACATGCTCATGGCTTCCAAAAAATATTCCCTGTTTCATGCCGGCAAGGTGTCAAGGTTGTGTCACACGGATCGCCTATTTTTACATTCTTACATACCTAATACAAACATTCCGCTTCGCACGTTCAGTTAGAAAGCACTGTATACGTATAGTTTATCAGTTGCTGTATTGTTTACCGATAATTTTTTCACTATAAATGGCAAAGAACATGGTCCCGTACGTTGGCCTGAAGCCGTCTGTTTCCTTTAGACCTGCCGAAGGAAATAGGTTAGAAACCTATTAAGTGTAAAAATCTAGATGAGCAGCTGAGGCCGAACTTGCTTGCCTTGGCAAAGCCGTATTCCATTTGAAACAATGGACTCCAAATTTCGAATATAGAATTATTCTGCTTCAAACGTAATTGATTTGTTTTGGCCTTTGGACGAAATGGCATTTTCGTTATCTGTATATAGCAGTTTGGAGATTCCCGACCGTCCATCTCCAGCAATCGAGTTTCATGCATTGTGGGCTACCAGCATTCACTACTTCAGGGACATCGTGACTTCTAATGCTGTTAAGGCTAACCTATGGATTTTTTGGCAAGCCAGATTACCGAACAAGCAATGCTTTGATATACTCGGTTTTCTATCGATGCTTCATTCCGAAATAGATAGCTGCCGAGCCGACTTTCGTTAGTAATTTTGACGACTCGATATCGAACGTCAATGCTGCAATGACTCTTTTGAAAAGCTCTGATAGACAGAAGAACGGCACAAGTGCCGATACTCATTTACCGTACCGTGACACGGAAGTCAGTGTTGTCCTATTTGGAGATCAGGCTGTAGGAAAACGCACGTGGCTCGAGACTCTGGCCAAAGCAGCGGTCAGCTCGCAGACCTATTACATCGCTCACGATGTGACTGCGCACGCATTTAAGGTAACTGTTATAAAGTAGTAATTGACATACGGCCAAGGTGTCCAGTTAGAGATGCTACTACCTTCGAGCCTAAACAATCCGCCCATAATTGGGGGCAAAAATTAAAAAAAATATTTCTGTAAGCCCAGGGAAACTAAAGCAACTATAGGGTGAAATTAAATCCTCGAACGCATCTATCCTTATGTTTAGCTCATTTTTAAGGATTTTAAATGCTACATAGCCATATAATGGCATAAGGCAAAGATTGGACACGTTGAACTAGTGGACTTACGATATTTTTCTATTATGTCACTTTGAGCAGGACGGTATTTGTCGTTAGACCTCGCTAGAACAACAATCATCACTCTCTAATTAAACAACTGGAGAGTGACATATTTAACAAGTGATGGTTTCTAGATGTAAATGGAGACTGCTGTCGTATTCTGTCTTTTACAGACAAACTAGCAGACGAATTCGAGAACAGCATAGGCGTGTGTGTATATAGCTAGGTGCCCTAAAAAAGAAGAAGGAAACAATTCCTTTAGCTTATACATTACTGACGTTTTATAAATTTGCTTCAGGCGTCGTGCAAGGAAAACGCTGTAATTTGCTCCCATTGACAAAAGTCGCAAACATAATCTTTCCGTAGGGAATTCTACTATCCTCCTTTTTTTATTCCTTCAAGCTTCTAACAGCGCCCTAACTTCTCGAAATTAGTTGTAGGTCGTTACCATCCCGTCTAATGAAAATAGTTACTAGAGATTGCGCTTGGAGCCATTGGGTTTGCCTTGACGCTTCTTGAGTTGAGTCATCTTCAGAAGTCGAGTACATTGTGGAATACCGTGTATTGTTTTGAACTATATCGACTCGAGCAGTTGACACAGACTTCGTTACAATGAGGTTAACTCAGTTCTTTCAATCAGCGTATTTTTCTATATTTCACCGGCTCATGTATTATATCGCCTTCGAATTAAGACCCGAAGGGACTCTGAAACATGGTTCGTCGTGCAAATGTATAGTAGTGATTTCGTCAACGGTTCCGGTAGAGAATACGTAAGGGTATGTGTACTGGAATAGTGTCCGTTTCACTGTTCGTTTCATCAGATAGGGAGTTCCCTTGATACGGAATTTTCCTTTTTCTTGTGCCTTCCTTTCGACGGTATTGGCATTACCTGAAAGATGCCTACTAAAGTCTTTTGCTAATCCTATTTCCATCCCGAAATTAAGCAGCGCTTAAAGGCTTCTCAGGTCAAAGCTGACTTCAGGAAAGCTACAAAAAGGACACGATGTTTTGACTTATCCTTTTTGTAAGGTAAGTATTGTCTTATAGCGGTAATACCACAGAGAGAAGCTAGTGGCCGATTTGACGGATGGGAACTTGAACTATAAGATGCTTCAACGAATCCATCTCGAAGCGAAGGTGCATTTGCTTTGTTGCTGTGTGCTACTGATAAAACGTGCTTATTGGTTAAACAGCCAACTCTATAGTATGACATTGGCATGAAAGAAACATTTCTTTAGGTAATATTCTTTTTTAGGTAATAAATAAACAAAAATGTATCAATATCGTGTGCCACATAAGAAATGAATATTTCTCATGTGTGAATAGGTAGGTAGATGGAATAGATCTGGGTATCGGAATTTTCATTCAAACAATATGGAATCGAACTATTAATATGTTCGTGCGATACGTGCTTTTCAAATGGCGTTAGATGAAGACGAACAGCCCCATGAGTCGATTTTCTACGTTTCATATCTACGTGAGACCAACGACCCCCGAACGCTCGAATCAGTCTTGGTTAGGGGGCCTTGAACATGGCTACACCGTGAACGCGCAGGGTTTTTTCGTTCTGTTTGATCTATCCAACGTCGAGAGCTTCTGGCACCAGGTATAACCAGGCTCCAGTTAGTAGAAACATTTACGGCAAACGAGCATGCTTTTATGTTTGATGTCTTCGGTTTAACTAACCAGCAATTTTTGTTTTATTATCAATACCTGCTTTGGCTGATCCATTGCTGATTGGAATTTCGGCGCACTATTATTTGAATAGCAATTCATAAAAAGGATCATTATTAAAATGTTATAATAAGTTTCAGTTAAAATTCAGAAAAAAAATATTTAGTTAACTTGTGTTCATTGAAGATGAATTTGAACTACAAGATAATATCGTAGCCCGTCCAAAAATAGCGTAATAGCTTTACATGAACTGAGTGTCGTAGTTCAATAAACCATTGCATATAATGTTTTCGCTTGTGTTTTATTTTATCAATGAACTGATTTAGATTGACTTCTGCAAGAGTTTGCGATTGTACAGAGACATACCTGTGATTACCATCGGAAACGTCACTTGCAAGCACCGAATGGCCTATCTGCCTCCTGAACTCCACTATATTCAGGTCTGTTTGATACATCTCAATCCACTTATCTCACCCACCATTTCTTAAGCTGAATCAATGCTAGACGATTTCGATAGCGTTTAACCAAGTTCCATAATCAATGTCTCATACATATGCCCCGTCGTCATCGAGATAAGTAAGTAACTCGTCACATAATCGGAATCGTTTCGCTATCACGTTCACGATTACTGATTTTAACCTAAAATCCTGCTTGTCGATATTCCAGTATCATAGGTTCGAGATACAATTTAAGTCGCTCGGCTGTTTATACCTATGGAGCACCTTACAATTACCAACCGCAGTATAGGCCGTATGTTGATGGTCCTCGGAGCATGTACAAATCGATGTGTTGATGACATTTTTATGCATGTGGAACGTCATGTGCAGTATGATACTGCATGAAATATATACACATGTGTTGCTGACTGTTTACTTGGACATACGGACAAATAGAAAGTAGTAGACTCAAATTCAGTATTGGAGATTGTGTTTGAACAAAGAACGAACAATTCTAAGAAAACCTTTTGCATACCCTATCCGACATCCGATCATGTCGTTCACAAATTCAAGCTAGAACTTAAGCCTACCGTAGACTTATTTTAAGCTTTCCTATTCAATTGTGCGACGGGCTCTGCTAGCACCAGTGATTAACTCGTCGTCGTTATGACAGCCCTTGTAAAACTCGAAACGGAATTTCCAATGTCGCCCCAAGCGAAATAATCCAGAGTTTATAAATCTGGATTATGTAGTGGCCGTATAGGCATATTTGAAAACATGCACCATTTTCCAATGAGCCATATGTGAACTAGCCAGTATCCTGTATTACTGGAAAATGTATGGTTTTCCTTCAGACGTTTTACCTACCAATTGTAAAACGCGCGAATCAACTTTATTCGCCGATGTTTTCGTCTTTCCAGAAAAGTACTATGGCAGAGATGCTTTCTTTTTTCTTCTTCACTGGACGCCACACTCAGACTATAAACACTAGCTGGAAATATGATTTAAATATACAAAAAAATAAAATGTCACCAACATTATCCTCTGGATCGTGGGGCAGCCATTAGTCGTTTCTATGACTTAGTTTTGCCCTAATAGTAAACGTTTTTCTTCAAAGAGGTTTCATTGTCCAATCGAGTCGAGCATGTCTGACCGACTTTTGTGATATACGAATGGTACATCAGCAACATGGCAGCCATACCCGCATGGAGCATGATTACCATTCAAATTTATTTCCTTATACAGAGATGACCAAACATTTACATTCGACAATACAGGAACCCTGCTCTTACTTATCTGAATTGCCGCTTGTTGGCAATACCTCACATTGTTAATGTAAGGTAATGGAGGAAACTTATTGCCCTGTTGATGCTTGCGCCTCGATGGTCCAGCGTGAAGTTTTTGGATAATAGTTAACTTCTGTTCAAATTCTTATCATAAAGCATAGCTGCACCTTTGTCGTCGGATATCGTTGGAACGAGGTCTCATCTAGTAGTACATATTTTGGATAAACAGCTTCAGATGAATAACAATTGAACTTAAGCCGACTACTCTATGCGTATGTTAAGTAATTTATTATGTATATGTCCGTATTATGTCTTGCGATACTTTTAGATCAACCATAAGTGAACGAATGATAGTATTTTGGCAAGCAACGGTTTGTCAACAATGACACATACATGCGTCGTTTCATTGCCGCCCAAAAGCATATATAGACGTATAGATTGCATAACGCCAACAAAAAATGTACTAGATTTTAGCAAAAAACGAACATTTTCGAAATAGAAATAACTATGACCTTCGAAGCGTTTTAAGAACGCGAAAGATGAAATTATATTTCAATAGCAGCTATCCGGATCACTGTCTAAGCGAATATCTCTTCAGGTTAATGTTAGGTCTGAGCATGAAGCCCTGCGACCGCTAACGGAAATGAGGCTACGGCTTGGTCAGATAGGAGATGTCCTTCCGTGCAGTCGAGAATCATTGGCTGCCATGTCTGCAATGAAAGGCGAAAACGACGAGAATGACGAGGATATTCACAAGAAGCAAAGTCCTTAACATCTGGCCGTTTCCTGTATTTGTATTGTGATTGATTTCATGGAAACGTCCCGTGGTGCCAATTTGGTGCAATTTTTTACCTGCAATAAACGTTGTCTTGTTGTACCTAGTGCTTATGCTGAAAGCTCGTAGTCTTCCATTCACAACGTTGAACGGGTCTAATTCTAACGCGACGCCTGTGCTTCAGTTCTCCCTGTTCTTTAAATAAGAGTAAATCAGCTGAAAGTTAACATTAATGTAAACTTATAATAATAAGTTACTAATAATAATTAGTCATTAATTAATTAAGAACTTAATAATAAGTTGGAAGCATATCGACTTCAAAGACTCATTCGAATGATGAAAGCCATTGAGGCGCACAAAGGTTTAATCGGATTAATATAAGTGGCGTGTTTCCAACATATACAGGAAGGATGAAGGCACTATGTTTTAAATGGCTCAACGCTCAGTACCGCTTTATATGGTGATGGCCTTAATAATACACTTCGCTACAGAAGATCAAAGTTACTTCGTTAAAGACGTAGTTATTTCTGCATATTAATACGTTTCAAAACTTCATTAACATTCTCCTGAATTAGGATCGAAAGGTCAATTTCAGTTAAATTAATTTTATTGCCCCTTTCGATCACCTCTAGTATTGATACTACCATTAATGGTGATTGTGATCTGTATGATGAAATACCTGACGGCGGTACCGGACCTAAAGGTCGAAAAACTTTCATAGTATTTATGAAGGTTAGACATGTTTGTATTAGGTTATTAATAAAAAAAAAAACTAGGTTAAGCGTATAATCAAGTTGAGTTTGTAAGTTTTCTATAGGACATGTTTTCCTTTTAGCTATATTAGTGTATTTTGAAATAAGTGTTCTTAAAAACGAAATTTATCCAGAATTCGATTTTTACTGTAACCTATCGACACACTCATCGCGAACGTACCTAAGGTAAAGCTAATTTGGATGATTATATGTACTTCATACATAATGTATAATAGATTTAAGGAAAGTAACTTTACTTCTGTTCAACGCATATTTTCCAGACACATTTTCGCACGAAAATTATGACACTGATACTTTTATTATTAGAAAATTATGAGCACTGAAAATTTAGGTTTAACAATTACTGCGGGATAATTTGAAAGTGGGCCGACAACAAATAAGACGATGATGTCTGACAGATTCCGAAGCAGTTAAGTTCAATAAGGCAAAAGTGAAGTTGCATTCAGAGCGAGTTATGCTAAATCCCGGTTGGTAGATCTCATAAGTTAAGCATCACTAGATTGTAAAAGACTACGGAGTGGCGGTTTTCAATAAAAAATTTAAATTATTCTTATTTGAAATTATAAATGCAATCATTCATTTACAGATTTATTTCACTCCAGTAACTCAGAATATGATACAAAAAGATAATAGAAAAAACCAACAACACGGAAACGTTTTGTCGAAACTATACGAAGCTTATGGGTTTTCATTATTATCAAATTGATTTATCGAAGTGGTCATCCTTATTAAGAATTATTTTCCTAAAACTTAGGCTTTAGATCGTTTTCAGTTCTTCTCAATGATTTTCCTAACCAATCTGCGGTTTACATGAATGCAAGTTACTTGCATACATACTTCACTGTTATTTTTGCATTTCAGATCGCCTTCAATTACTGCCTTCTAAGCGCTTCACTTTCTCCCCTTAAACATTCGGTAATTACGACGATCGGCCTTATTGTCGGCCTTTCGCTACCCTCACCTGTTGCATAATACCTTAAGTCGAATGTATCGAAATACTTACGCAGCAGATCACACACGTCTGCATATCTTCGCTATGTTCATTACTACTCTGATCTCAGCTGGCATCACATGTTTGGCTTAAGTATCTGGGTAATCTCCTTTTACGACCCATAGCATATTTAGCCTATGAAGTACTTAGAAGCTGGCCGAGTGTCAGCCCGTCTGCTACTACGGTACACAGTACAATCAATTTCCAATAGCCTTTTGGTCCGATTCGTTTGGTGTTGAACGATCTGTCGTTTGTTCTGGCACCTCTATGCCTAGGTACGTGAGGCGCGACCAGTTTACCGATGCTTACCACTACTGGCCATTATCTGCCGCAAGAAAGACGAAGGCCAAACGCTCTTCGCGCCGGTCCGCATGTAATCTTATTATAAGCCACAAAGAGCCCTTTGGCCTCGGTCTGTTTCTCGATAGAAATTTTTATCGGCTGATCAACTTGAAGCGTGGGCGGGATAGATCAGATCAATGTACTAGGAAATATGTGAACGTCTATTTTCCTGTGAAAGTTGCCCAATAACGAAAGACAAACTGACTGGTAAATGATGATTCTGAATGTCTTAGCCTAAACTGTTGTATATCTAAATTCCTATGCGTCATAATGAAACCAGCTAAAGACTGTCCATGCAAAGAACCTCGAGAGCCAAAAAAAAGAGTGGGAAACTTGACGGTTAATTGAGGGATAAACATAAGCGATCCTTCTTCATCATGATCTATTTGAAAAGGTGCGTTTCATAGTCCGATTAATAAGATGATAAGATGGCAATAACGGTTATTCCATTTTTTTACGGATCGTCAATTACTATGAGGTCAAACTTGCTTGACGCAGAGATATGGAACTTTTATTATCCAAGAAAAGGTACTCTCAAGGGAAATGATAGTACCTTTGCCACCGAGAAGTGTGTATCAACAAGCAACAAAAAAACCAGTTAGCTAGAGATATTCACGAGAGGTAGTCGCTATGACGAAAAATCTTTTACCCATCCTAATTACGTGACCCTGCTGTTCTAGCCAACGTTACATTCTTGGAAGAAGCGGCAGGTTTCTAGAGCATGCCTCTAACTGCTACCGAACGCTTGCCCCTGAAACCAGCGTATATGTACTTTGTGCCCCTTTTTTTTTGGAAAATGAAAATAAGCATTGTAGTGATGAGGTAACATAATTTCGCGTTTTTGAGATAAATTCCGCCAACGTATGAAGCATCCACATATATAATTAGTACTATATTTATTCTATAAAACGCGCGGTCACCATCGAATGGATTTCGGGCCGACTTAAACGCGCTAAATGTCTGTGAGGGTCGTCGTGGCAAACCGCAATATCTTATAAGCTTCCAATTTAAAAAGATTAGAAATTGAAAAGATGTTGAGTCGTGTTCATACTCCAATTTCCGAGTCCATATTATTTTTTTAGAACTTAGTAGCAAAGTCTATAGAGATGCATGCACATTAACCTCTATAGGATACGGTTAGGGATATGCCTTCGGACGATTCAGAGTAGTCCGTTGTCCTGCCTCGTTAGTAATTTGGTTTTCGATTGTTGCCACATATGCTCCTCTACCTCATGTTTCTATAATAGGCAAAGAACCATAGGCATTTTTGGGCAAACATGCTCATGATACTTTTCAAGGGATGGCGTATCGTACAAACATGGAAAGCATCCTGAAAAGAGGAAACAGCTCATGGCTTATTCTCATGGTCCAGTATTATTTAAGCCACTAAATAAAAATATTAGGAACACAAAAAAAATCTATCTACTGCCTATATTTTATTTTGATCAGTCTCGCGTTTGCGTCGACATTTGACAATTGCGCGAAAGCATTTTCCTGCGGGAGCCGCCGCAGCCGAGAAATTACTACTCTATACCATGCTAGCTAGCGATGGACTGGGGAAGATTACACGGGTTTTGTGTAAATATGTTGTCCACACATGGTGGCCAAGGCCACCATTCTCTATTCGTTATGAGCAGGTCGTTGCGACCATTGGGTAGTATGCCCCCAACCGAAAGTTGCCAACCGTGACATCAACAACTCAATGCGATACATACACCAACAAACTGAATTCGTTGACAAGGCATGTGTAAGCATTTATTTTCTGTGAGTTACGGCCAATTGTCATTTCGCTGCTCTTGTTATTATTCAAAAACAGCAATGATAACATGGCCATAGTACAAAATGTGCACCCCGATGGTGTTGAACGCTATCTCAGGCAAGCGTTCAGCGCTGTGAGTAGGGCGCGGCTCAACGGTAAGTACTCGCAACTTATTGAAACGATCGAAGATCACGCATATTGATATGTGTGAAAAGAGCTACAGAAATTCGGGCATGTAAACATGTACTATGATATTTATCAATCTAGATAGGCAAATAAGCGGAATTGCTCTAGAGTCTCGCGTGCACGAACGCGTACGTTTCGAACGGTCGTGATCCACGCTGCCCGATTCGACATCGTATGCCGTGACGTGTGCGGTTAATTGCAGTGGATCAATTGCTATAGGACGCCCAGGCCAGCCCTGTCTGCGACGGCAACGGTAACGCTAAACATCCGCCGTGTAACCTCACACCTCGTTAACGCGCAGCGGCACTGTGGGACTCTCCAAGATATGCTTTGTTCATTCGACCAATACAGGCCCAACTAGAATCACAGTCCGTTCGCTCACATGAGGGTGAAGACGATGCACAGAAATGGTTAGCGGCATTCCGCCGTCCGGCGACATCGCCTTAAACAAACAACAACGGCACCGTTAGTGATGATGGTTATGTTTGATCAACGTGACGACGACCAAAAATGGAATTACAGTCCTCTGGAGATGGCAGTTTCGTTCATGTACATTGTATTTATGCTATACTTAACGCAAATCCACAACCAGATTGAGAAGATGGGACTGGCAAGATAGTCGATAGTGCACGATACTCCTACCACTTAACTATCAAAGAAGGAAAAATACAGTGTCGAGATTATGGCGCTAATAGCAGTGCTTGTATGCAATCGCGAGATGCTTAATCTGATGTCATTTTTCATTTAGTTGTCGTGGCTGCATTAAGGTAGCAGCGCCGACAACGAGAACGTAGGGGAACCGACCGGGCGACCTCATCGTCAGTACGCTATTCCTGATTTATTTTTTAAGTGGCCAACAGTGTTCATAAAACATGAACGAAACTCGGACAAAATCGAAAAATCTCGTCCATTGTAGTAAACAAGCTACGATTGTATAGGTCTGTTTAATCAGTTCCTTTACATCTTTCGCATCTCCGAACGTATCTTTGAGTGTATACTGCGTAACCTTATTCAGTCTAGCTTAGCCTTGT